GCGTTTCTCTTTGGGTGATTTCTCTTGCTATGTACTTAGTTTCACTGAGTCTTCCCTTGACTCTGTTGATTCTACTGATGAGTCCATCAGAAGCAGTCGTCATTTCTGTTACCATGTTTTTCATTTTCTAGCATTTCCATTTTATTTTTTCTTAAAGTTTTCATCTCTCTGTTGAAATTACCCATCTGATCACACATTGTCCATTTTTCTTCTATAGCTTTTAATATATTATTCATAGTAATTTAAAATTCTCTGGGGGAGGGAGGGATAAATGGGGAATTTGGGATTAACAGATACACACTACTATATATAAAATAGAAAAACAACAAGGACCTATATTCAGTATGTTGTAATAACCTATAATGGAAAAGAATCTGAAAAAGAATGGAGATATATATATATGTATACACACATACACACGCACATATATAAAAAACAAAATCACTTTGCTGTACCCCGGAAACATTTGAAATCAACTATACTTCAGTTAGAAAAACAAAAATTAAAAGAAATTTTCTGATCGTTCCAACTATGCTTCTGTTGACTGTTTCGTCTCTAGACAGTGGAAATTTTTTTTCCTTTCTTCTTTGTATGCCTCATAGTTTTTTGTTGAAAGATGTTTTGTGTAAGACAATAGAGATGAAATTATGGATTTTTATTCCTGGAAATGGACACACGTTTTCTTTTGCCAGACCTTTAGTGTGGAGGTTGAGTTACCGTAGTCAGAAGCTGAGCTGGATTTGGATGTTACTGTTACTGTGGTTGTCCTCAGCACACCACAGGTTTCAGATTTCTCTGGTGTTCCCATGTGCTTAAGGTGGATCCTAGTTTGCCAGTGAATTTTTCTCCACAGCTGCCATACACTCATCTTTAAGTCTTTCTTTCTGCTTAGTGTTACAGAGATGGTCTCTCTCCAGGCTCTTGTTCCTCTGACAGCAGTAGACTGCTTTTAACTTGGTATTGAGTGCATTTTGCCCCCGTGGTAAGATACGCAGGGCAGAAAGCAGCATTCTCTGCCGACCTGATTCAGCCTCACAGCAGGCACCGGGTCCCTGGAATCAGGGTGAGATCTTCTCTGTGATCCTCCCCCGCCCCCAGGGAGAGGGTAACCCTAATGGTCTGTACCCACAATGTATTTCCTCCCTCCCTCCCTCCCTCCCTCCCTCCCAGGATTAGAAGCTTTTTTTTCTGTTTCCATCTTCCAGCTGCAGTGGGTCTTCATTTATGCCCCAAAGTTGACAGGGTTTGCTGTTCTTCCTCCAGAACCGTAAGGCTTGTATTTTTTAGGGAAAAGAGAGAAGGATGGGGAGAGGGGGTTGTGCTTTTCCTGTACCTGCTGCTCTGCTCTTCCAGGCCTGCATCAAGACAATGGCCTTCTCAGAACCCTCATCCTGCCCCACAAATCTTTCTTGTAAGTACTGATGAGATCTGTGAAGGACAGCCTTAAAGTGGCTGCAGATTTCTCGTGTACTCCAGGGGTTCTGTGTTCTCAAACCCACCCACACCCAGCCTATCGCTGATTTGTTGCTGTTCCAGGTGACGTCGCACTTGGTGGCATCTGCCTTCGGTCATCCAGTGCATATGTCATGTCTCTCCTTTAATGTGCTTGTCTTGTCTTAGATTTCAGGTTACATGGTTACCCCGCAATGTCAGCCCTCAGAGTAACTTAAGTTGTGAATTTAAAGATTTTCTGGGCTTTAAAATTTGTTATAATGGTGGGTGAAATGCCTTTTCCAGCTTTCTGATCCCAAGTGGAAGCCTGAATTCCTTAATTTTAAAAAATTGAAATATAATTGACATATAGCATTGTATGGTTTTAAATATACAGTATAATGATTTGCTAAATGTATATATTGTAAAATGGTTACCACAATAGCTTTAGTATTTTATTAGTTTTGAGTATTACCTTTTGTAAATTGAAATTTAAATGCCATAATCATAAATGTATATGAAGTCATAAGAGAAATAATAGAAGCTATGTACACTTTATCTAGCATACTTTATGTTTCATAATTTTACCATGTATGTAGCTTTGTGTACCCCCCAGCAAAGTCAAGAGTACAAAACAACTCAATTACCACAAGGATCCCTCTTGTTGCCTTGTAATAACTATACCCACACATTGTCCAGAACCTCTGGTAACCGCTCATCTGTTCTCCATTTCCAAAATTTTGTCATTTCAAAAATGTTGGGTAAGTGAAATCATGTAGTATATATAATCTTTTGGGATTTCTTTTTACTCAGCCTAATTCCCTAGAAATTCAAGGTATTGCATGTATGAAGAGTTCATTCTTTTTTACTGCTAAGTAGTACTCCACAGTATGTTCTACTGTTTACCCGTTCACCTATTAAATGACGTCTGGGTTATTTCCAGTTTTTAACTATTACCAAAAAAGCTGCTATGAACATTTGTGTACAGGTTTTTGTGTGAACATAAGTTACCGTTTATCTTGGGTAAGTGCCCAAGAGTGCAATTGCTGGGTCATATGGCTTTGCGTGTTTTGTTTATAAGAAACTACAAATTGGTTTCTAGAGTGGCTGTACCATTTTACAGTCCTACTTGCAATGTACAAGTGACCCAGTTTTTCTCCATCCTTGCCAGCATCTTGTGTTGTCACTGTGTTTTTCATTTTAACCTTTCATGTGTGTATTTGCCATTATGTATTTTTTGGTGAAATTTTTTACATGTCTTTTGCCTATTTTCTAACTAAATTTTTTAATGGTCATTTTGAAAGTTCTTTTTATATTCTTTATGCTATTTCTTTGTCAGGTATGTGGTTTGCAAAAATTTTTTTTTCTAATCTGTAGCTTATCTTTTCACAGAGCAAAAGTTTTAATTTGAGGAGATCTAATTTATCAATTTCTAATTTATGGATTATGTTTTTGGTACCAAGTCTAAAATCTCTTTGCCTAACCTCAGAGCCTAAAGTTTTTTTCCTAGAAGTTTTATGGCTATAAAGTTTTCGTTTAAGTCCACAATGCATTTTGAGTTAATTTTTGGTTAAGATGTGAGATTTCAGTTGAGATCGGCTTTTTTATTTTTATTTTTGCCTACGGATATCCAATTGCTCCAGCCCATTTGTTGAAAAGGCTATCGTTCCCTCCTTCCTCCACTGAATTGCACCTTTGTTCACAATCAACTGAGCATATTTTTATGGTTTTGTATCTGAGTTCTCTGTTCTGTTCTGTTCCATTGATCTATGGGTCTACCCCTTCACTGATACATTTTCTTGATTACTATAGCTTTTTAGTAAGCCTTAGTATCATACAGAACAATTCCTCTCACATTATTTTTTGTCAATAGTTTATTCTAGTGCCTTTCCCATTCCATATTAGAACAAACCTGTCTATGTCTATGAAAAACTGCTGGGTTTTTTATAGGATGTGCATTTGAGAACTGACATTACTATGTTGTCTTCCAATTCATGAGCACAGTATCTCTCTCCATTTATTAAGGCCTTTTAAAAATTTGTTCCGTAAGTATTCTGTACTTTTCAGCATACAGAACCTGTTTCTGTTTTAAGTGTATACCTAAATATTCCATATTCTTTGGAGTGATTATAAATGTTACTGCTTTCAAGTTTTCATATGCTCATTAGCATAGAGATTGGTTTTTGCGTGTTGATTTTGTATCCTGTGACCCTGCTTAATTAGGTCACTATTAGTTGTTTTTTTAGATTCTTTGGGATTTTCCATGTGGAAAATCATGTGCAAAAACTCAGCAGCTATTCCTTAAAGCAAAATTAATTTAGAAACTGTTTAAACATGTTTTAAACTGTTTAAACACTAAAGTTACCCAAAATACTATAGCCTATGGTGAAATCCTGCAGCCACTTGCTTTAAAGTTAGAAATAAGAATGACTCCTGTTCTTCTGTTATTTAACACTATTTTGGGAAATTATAGCTAAAGAAATAAAATTTAAAAACCCCACCAAAACCAGAGTTTTATTCATTTCCAATTTGTGTATCTTTTTTTTTTTTGCCTTATTACATTGGCTAGAATTTCTAGTACTATGTTGAATAAGAGTGGTGACAGCAGACATCCTTGCCTTGTTCCCAAATGATGAGGGAGAGCATTGTAACTTTCATCATTAACATTAGCTGTAGATTGCTTTGTTCCTTATCAATTTGAAGAAATGTCCCTGTATTTCTAACATGAAGTTGCTTAATAATGTGAATTGGACTTTGTCAAATGCTTTTTGTGTCAATTGATAAGATCATGTTTTTTTTAATGTTTATATTACGGATTATACTGATTTTCAAACACTGAACCAGCCTTGCACACCTCAAATAAATCACAGTCATGGTGTGTAATTCTTTTCATACACTGTGGATTTGGTTTGCTGGTATTTTTGTTGAAGATTTTTGTGTCTAAGATCATTAGAGGTAATGTTCTGCAGTTTTGGGGTTTTTTTTTTTTTTTTTGGTACTGTCTTTGATTTCAGTATCAGGGTAATATTGGCCTTATAAAGTGAGTTGGGAAGTGTTCTGTCTTCCTGCTGAGAAAATTTGCCCTATTGACAAAAATTACAGAATAGACCAATTTCTGGAAGAGGCATTTTGTGGAATATATTTTTTCTGGAAGAGATTGTCTTAGACTGGTATTAATCCCTCTTTAAATGTTTGGTATAACTTTTCAGTGAAATCATATGGGCTTGGAGATTTTTTTTCAGAAGCTATTAAATTATGAATTAGAAACTTTTTAAGGTACTGGGCTATTCGAATTATTTCACATTGAGTTTTGGTGGTTTTATGGCTTATGAGGAACTGGTCCGTTTCTTCAGCTTTAAGTGTGAAGTCATTTGTATTATTCCCTTCTACCTTTTAACGGTTGTGGGGTTGGTAGTGATTTGTGTCTCTCTGTTATCCTTCCTGGAGGTGTATGTTTTTCTCTAATCACAGTTTCACGGGTGCAGAGCAGGCAGTCCGATTAAAGAAGACTGGAGTTTTGCCAAGTGAACACAGCAAAGAAAGGAGCCATGGAGCGAAGAGCGCACGCAAAGGAGTGAGTACAAACAACAAAGCACCTCAGACTCTGGGTAAGAGAGAAGAGAGGGCGCAAGGGGAGAGGAACCCTGGAAAGGATGAAGGGACTGGCGGCCCGAGGGAGGTCTGATGATTGCTGGAGTCAAGGGTCTACCCAGACTAAGCCAGAGAAAGACAGGTGTCAGTAGTTAGACGAGGATGCTTGAAACTGAGACGAAGGAAGAGCTGTAGCTGTTGGCAAAGACAAAGGAGTGGCTAAGGTTGATCAGATACCAAGATCATTAGCAGAGAGGTCAAGGGACTGAGAAGGTCAATTAGGGAGTGACAGTGAAACAGCGACTGAAATCTCTGGGGAGCAAGGAGGAGTGAACCAGGGATGGTAAATGCCGATGGGCTTACAGTCCAATGATCATGAAAAACTTAAAGCTGGGGTCCTTAGTGGGGAGCAGGGGGTGGCGGTGGGGTAGAGTACAGTCTGCAAGTAGCACTTCAAAGGGAAGAAAAACATTAGTGAAAAAACTGGCACTAAAATAGGAGCCTGTAGAAGAGAGCCCGGGTTCAGCTGGAGCAGGGGTTCTCAGACTTCGGTGTGTGTTACAACCACCCGGAGGGCTTGTTGGCTACCGATGGCTGGACCCCACACCCAGAGGCTCTGCTCAGTAAGTCTGAAGCCTGAGAATCTGCATGTTCCAAGTGATGCTGACGTGACCCAGGGACCACACGTCCAGAACAACTCAAGAACAAAGAGATGGGGGTAGAAACAAGCAAAAAGGTTGATTTTACAGGGAACGTTGTTAACGGAAGTAAACTCCATGCAAGAAGTTAAGAGAAGCCAAACATTTGTTTTTACTAAAAAAATAATGCATAATCTAAGAAGGATCAGTTATAAATCGGTTAAACACTGACAACTGTAACACAGTGCTCTGTTAAGGGCTCCAGGTGTTTATAGGAAAACATCAAGTTGACCACTGAATGTAAAAGGATATGCTAATGAAGTTGAATTTTTTTTTTAGATGTAGACAAAGATCATTCATTGAGCAGTTTTATTAGTTATTTAGAGGCAGCTGTTGAAAGATTTAATATGTATTTGACGAGGTAAATTCTTACTATTTTCATTCTCTTCAAAATAGAATTTTCCCACAGATCTTAAAAGCATTACAGAAAATACTGAAAAGTCTAAAGAAAAACAAACAAAACACCTTGCAATCCCAGCACCTAGCAGTGACCACCATGCATTTCCGACGTATCTAAGATTAGAACATATATACATACATATTTATATGATCTTTTTAGGAAAATAGCAATGCGTACTGTTTAGTATATACATACAAACTTCCTGGCTAAAAATACAGTTTAACAGGTATAGATACGACTATCACTTTAATTCTGGCTGTTTCATGAAGGTATCACCACCATTTTAGCCACTAGTTAGGTTTTTTCAATGGCTGATAGTTTAAAGATATTTCAAAAATTTGTAATATTGATTATAAAAATAAATGAAGCCAAGAAAACTTTTTCTTTCTCTCTGTAATACACACTTTGAATGTTTTACTTTAGATGATATTGGAACAGTGCCTGAATGCTACACTTCAAGAGTTCAAAATTTTGAAGTACATGACGCTAATACACATGATTTAAACACACCTGCAACTTGAGAATGATGAAACAGAAGGATTTTACAAATTTAAATAAAGACAACTATAGCTAAGTAAAAATTTAGACACCCACTACTATCACATGTGCATAGTAAGAAATGTGTAAGTTCTTACAGAAACTTACATACATAATGAAGGTTTAGTGTTCGTTATTTTGCCTCAAATTCAACATGTATCAAACCATAGGTAGTATTTTCTTTAAACTAATTTTGACATCAACTTTGAGTACAGAACCGCAGAGAATCTTACATAACCTGACACTTAAAGAAACCAAGTATTAGTTGTTAAGAGGGTCTAAATATTTCTGAAGGCAGACAAATACTTGTTTTAAAAGTTAAAAACTTTGGTGATCATTTTGTAATATATAGACATATTGAATCACTATGTTGTACACCTGGAACTAACATAGCATGCAGGTTAATTATCCTTTAATTAAAAATAAAAATAATAAAAATAATATAAATACATACATACATACATACATACATACATACATACATACATACTACAGGTAAGCCCCACATTCTGCCCCACAGAGGTGTGTTTCATTGAAAGAAAGCCAGGACAGAATCACAGCACAGAGATATTATTTGCATTACAAAAGGAATCTTCACTCCATAAAAAGAAGCAGGTTTAAACTCCATTAAATGACAACTTCTTCTAAAAAACAAACTCAACAGGCACTGTTATTTTTGATATCCTTATATATTCTTAATTTTTTAAACAAGAAGGGACCATCTCTTTTGGATTTTCATTACTTAGACAAAGCCTAAAATATACATAGTAGACTGTTTGTAAAATGAATAACTTCTGGGAATTTATTGAATTTTTAGGGATCCAAAACTATAAAATTCCTGTAAACTATGTCATTAAAAAAATGAACATATAGCTATTAAAAAATGTAAGTGAAAATTGTTTAATCATCTTACAGCAGTCAAAATACAGTATAAGACTGGTATCTTGGTGTCTGAAAGCAATCATTTTACCATATGCAGTTTAATCTTTTATGTTATTCATTGTAAGTTGATGGTTAATTAAAAACCTGAGTTTTAATCAAAGTTGTTTTCAAACATTGTCATAATGTCGCTTTGAAGAGTCATATCAATGGTACCAGCCATCTGTAGAAAGGAAGGGAAAATGTAAATGTTACTTAAAAGGTTTATAGCTTCATTATATTACATTTATATAAAAAATGATTATGCAACATTTGGAACATACAAAATGAATGCAATTTATTTAACACAATGGATTTGTACACAATTTTAAATTTCTGTTCAAATACTACCTTATTTTTGTTAAAATATTGTTCACGTGATAAGTAAGAATTAAAACGTAACAAAAACACAATGAACAAGTTTAACCTCTCTCTCCAAGAGAGAAAATTCTGTGTTAATAGAAACATGAACTGAGATTACGTGGTTTCACGGCTCTTTCTGGCCAACACAGTGCTAGACACAAAAGCCTGTTTTCTGAATGAGCTAATACCTTACCTATGTGAGAGAGCTGTAACACATAGTGCTGAAGCCTGGGGCTTTCCTTGATTCTGCCAATGACTGACTGTGACCTAAGGCAAATTAGCTAACCCAGGCATTTTATGTATATTTATTTTATACACAGATATTTATGAAGATGATCCAGATTGCATGTATAACACTCAGCACAATGTTGTTTAATAAACGCTAAGAAGCTATTTAAACTATATGCAGATGACATGTTACTATATATAGAAAACCCTAAAAGGTCCACACAAAAACTACCAGAGCTGATCGAAGAATTCAGCAAGGTAGCAGGTTACAAGATTAACGTTCAAAAATCAGTGGCATTTCTTTACACTAATGATGAATCAACAGAAAAAGAAAGTAAAGAAACAATCCCCTTTAAAATAGCACCCAAAGTAATAAAATACCTAGGAATAAATCTAACCAAGGAGATGAAAGAATTATACACAGAA